CAGCTCCTCCGGCGGTGTCGCGTGCGCCTGGTGGGTGACCTGCAGGTGGCCCCGCTGTGGGACGCCCTGCTGAATCGCGAGCTCTTCACCCCGGACATGATCGAGGACATCCAGGTATCCCCCGGACTCCGCTCAGCCTGTGTTCCCGCTTCTCGGCCGCGCGGGCTTCCAGGGCGCTGGTGGGGACGTCGGGGCTGTGCGGGGAGGGATGCAGAAGTCGCGGCCTGACTTCAGAGCCTGGCCCCGCCCACCTCTTCCCCGCCGCATCCGGTCCCCACCCCCTTTGGAGAACCGTGGGGCGGGAATCCCGTTTTCCCTTCCTGTGTCCAGCCCCCCAAGTCTCCAGGGGAACCAAAGAATCTCACATACCTCTTTGTTGATTGTTTGTTAGAGCGATTTCGCGTCCTGCACCGTCAGCGAGCCCTGTTAGTACCTGTGTTGTCTGGGAGGAAGTAGGCGTGTGTGTTTTCATTTTCTAGCGTAGAGACTCAAAGCACCCACTTTGCAGTCAGACTGCCTGGTACTGGGTCCTTCGGCAGGTCCTTTACTCTTTTTTAAGCCTCAGATTCCTGGACTGTGAAATGGGCGACAGTAGGGCTGTCTGAAGGTGGAAGTGAGACAGTGGGTGTCTAGGAGCGCCCGCCGTGGAGGTGCATTGAGGCCATATCCCCAGGCACTGCAAGCCCACTGCCCTGGAGCCCCCGTGCGCGGGCGCTAGAGGGGGCAGCTTCTGCCCTGCCCCAGTCCGCTGCCGCAGTGTAGTCACACCAGCGCGCTGGCCCACTCTCCCTGTATCTTTCACACTTTTAAAGAAAGACTGGAAATCTTGATTTCCCTGTCAAATTCCTGCACTTAAAATGCTAGGAACGGTGTGGTGGGACCTCCCACTGAGCCACCCCCCGGTCTGTTTTATTTTTGTTTTGAGACAGGATCTTGCCACATTATCTTCGTTGGCCTTGCTTGTCCTCCTACCTCAGCCTGCTGAGTAGCTGAGATTACTGACAGGTGCTGTTGGGTACCGCGCTCCCGGGAGTTATCTGGGGCCGAGTCTAAGGCTGAGCAGCCGAGAACCAGGCTCAACCTCCTGCTCCTGTAGCGAGCAGCCCTGTCATCTTGACACCTGTCTGTCGACTTCCACTTTCCTCCATCTTCACAGTTGGGACCCACGTCCTGCACATCTGTCTCCTTCTGTTCTATTTCCAGTTCAGCTGCACCGTCTGCCACCTCCTGGCCTGCTGGTAGCTCACCCCTTCCCACTGTTCACCCTAACCCCAGAGTGTTTTTTGCTTTCTGGTACCAGGGATTGAACTCAGGACCTTGCACTTGTCGGGCAGGCGCAGTGCCGCTCACCTAAATCCCGCGCCCTAGAATGGTTTTTCTGAAAGGCAGATGGCACCCTGTCTTTCTCCCTTGAACTCTTCAGTAGCTCCTTGTAGATTTCAGGCTGAATTTCGTGGCCTGGCCAAGCAAAGGGCTGACCCTCACCTCCGCCTTCTTCCTCTTACAGGTCTGAATTCATGATTCACTTCCTTGTCTCTCCTGAGCCATCCTTTCCTGACCCACAGGGCTGAGTTGGGGGGTCCTGTGCCCTCCAGCCTCATGGGCTCTCCCTCCTGCGCCTGTCTCCTTGCTGTGTTCTTACTGACTGGTCTGTCTGCACTCCCACTAGAAGTTGACCCCCGAGGGTCGCCCTGTGTGTTGCTGTGTTTTCAGCACTCAGCACAGCGTCAGGCCCAGCGGATGCAAAGATTACAGGGGTCGCACGCCCAGTGCACCTGCAGCCTCAGTTTCTGCCGGGGTGCTGGGCTGACCAGACTCATCTCCATGGGGGGTGGGGGACAAGATGGAAGCCATGTGAAAGTACCTGGCTGAAGAGTGTCTGGCCTTTGTGTCCCAACAGCGGGCGGGCTCTGGGTCTCGGCGGGACCAGGCCCGGCAGCTGATCACGGATCTCGAGACCCGAGGGAGGCGGGCCCTTCCCTTGTTCATCTCCTGCTTGGAGGACACGGGCCAGGACACACTGGCTTTGTTCTTGCAAACAAGTTGGCAAGCGACAAAGAAGGATCCAGAGGCCATCGTCAGACCCCTGGACCTCGAGCCTGTGGTGGTGGGACCGACGGGGCGCAAACCAGAGAAGCTGAATCCCTCGCACCCGGCCCCAGGAAATCTGTCCCCGGTGGTGCTGGGCCCAGCTCAGCTCAGGGCAGAGGATCTCGGACCAGAAGCTCCCAGACCAGCGGGCATTGGTTCTGGAGGACTCAGTGATGTCCGTGAGTATTGCAAGAGTGCTTGGTGGGTGGTGAGGGGTCGCTGGGGAGGGACCGTGGCACAGCTGGCTGGGCTGAGATGCAGTGTTGAACTATGGTGTTGTCTTACTGTGAGTATTCACGGAGGACGGGTGGGATGTTCCTAAATGATTTCGGCAACCTGTCCTTGAAAAGCAGGTGCTGAAGTCTGTTTTGGGTACCCCTGTTTCCCATCAGTGTTTCACTTGGACTAGTCCATGGCTGGCAACCAGGGGGAGGCCTCTGTTTTCTGGGAGTTCACCATATCTATCATCTATCTATCTATCTATCTATCTATCTATCTATCTATCTATCTATCATCTCTCTGTGCAGCGCGTACCTTACCTCCTTCCATCACAGCAGCCCCGCAAGGCAGTATTATTAGACTCAGCCTTGTCAGTGTTGTACAGTAATTTATCCAAGAGCACAGGCTTCATCCGGTAAAGTATGAAATGTATCCGAGTCCCTAGGGTGCAGATCGTTCTTACCTGGCACATGCGTGCACACACACGGGTCGCCATCACTCAGATCACCGCCACACAGAACATTCCAAGAGCCAGGAAGCTCTCCTCTTCCAAGTGTGTCCACTCCCCAGCTGAGACATCACCGTCGCAGTCTCTGTGCCACCGTCCCTTTGGCTTGTCCTTGCATCTCAATATGAATGAAATCCTGGGGTGTAAACTCTCTTGGCTCCTTTCACCCATCCTACATCTGTGGAATTCGGTCATACTGTTGGGCACATAACAGTTCCTTCTTTGTCTTTGCTAGGTGGTAGGAGTGGCTTCTGTCCTATAGTGTGTTTAACCAATCTGCTGCTTGGGTTGATTTCAGTTAGGGCTGTGTTTCCACGCAGCAGATGGAGATCCAGTGCTGTGCTTCCTGTTTCCTATTTGCCTTGTAGAGCCTTGCACACTAGCAACAGTGGTTAAAATTGCTGGGTACTAGGCCGGGGATGTAGCTCAGTGGCACCGCACTGCCTGGCAAGTGCAAGGTCCTGAGTTTGATCCCCGGTACCGCCAAAAAAAAAGTTACCGAGTATGTACTGTCTGCTGGGCACTCTTCAGAGTGTTTGCATAAGGCATCTAATTGAATCTTCTGAACTCTGAATGTTCCCGTTTTTCTGTGGAGCAGAAGAAGCCACAGACTGGAAAGCGAATTTCCTCAAGGATGGAGGGAGCGAGAGGTGGACACAGCTGCGGGCTGTCTCGTCCTTGTGTTGCCCTCCTGTGCTTCACTGGTGGCCATCTGTGCTGCTTTCCTGTGACCTTTGAGGTGCATCTCTGACTGGGGGACGTTTCTCCAGGCGGAACTGTGGGTTAGTGGGCCACTGTTCTCTTCTGACAGATGCTTCCAACTTGAATTTCAAAAACATGTTACAGGGCCGGGGATGCAGCTCAGTGGTTCCGCCACCTGCCTGGCAGGCTCAAGGAGCTGAGTTTGTTCCCTGGTACCAGACAAAAACTAATTGCACTAGCCGTGAGTGAAGCGATCATTTTCCCACACTCTGGCCGATGATGAATATCAAGATATTTTCCTATGATGTAAAAAACAGTATCTGTTCTGAATAAGTGATTTTGGATAACTTGTTAAAACAGAAAAACAAACGTGATGAAGATCTGAGGCAGTAGGGAGAAGCCCACTTCTGGGATTGTCCATAGGCACTGTTATCCTGCTGGAAAGGAGGCAGAATATAAGTTCATCTGTTCTTATGTGTTCCGTGAATTTCAGTGGTTTATGACCAGCTGTCTGGCCTTGAAGCTTCCTGTTCCTTTGTAAGGCATTTTATTTCCTGTTTCTTTTTTTTTTTGGTACGGGAATCGAACTGAGGTCCTTGTGCTTGCGAGGCAGGTGGTGGAACCACTGGACTTGAATCCCTGGCCCTTTTTCCTGTTTCTTGAGGCTGGAGTCTGACAGCGACAGTCATGGAGGGAGTTCCCGTGCAGAGCTGGGACCAGAGCCTCGCTCTGGCCTCACAGACAGACTGACAGGTGTCCCTTTAGGTGCTGGCTTGCAGCCTCTGAGTTCTGTTTGGACATATTCCCAAGGCAGGTTCATGGGGACCATGCAGGAGTTGTATGAGTAGTTGTAAGTGTGTAGTTGTGTAAGTGTGGCAAGATCTGGGTGAGAAGCTCCAAGGTGGAAATAGACCAGTGCTTCTCAGCCTCTTCTCCCCACTCTGGGACATTTAGAGAGATATTTGGTTATTACAGCTGAAGGGAGTAAGTGGGTACCCAGTGCACAGAAGCAGGCGTGCTTCTCCCCGAAATATCCTGTGATACCCAGAGCAGGGTAGGTAGGGTTGGAGGCATCTCTTTGGCTGAGCGCTTGTATAGCGGAGGCCCGCCGTCCACAGTAATGAGGGATCTGGCTCCTGGGTAACTGAAATGAGCACGCTCAGCTTTACTGAGTTCTCAGCTGTGTGAGAGGTACTGTCTTCTGGGTGGCACGTGTAGTCATCATTTTTTCTTTTTTTGAGACAGGGTCTCGTTATGTAGTTTAGGTGGCCTCAGACTCATGAAGATCCTCCTGCCTCAGCCTCCCAAGCACTGGGATTCCAGGCGTGCACCACCACGCCTGGCTTGGAGTCATCAGTGGAAGCCTCACCACAGCCCTGTGAGATTGGTAGTTGCTCCTGTTGTCCCACAATAGAGAAGGGAAGAACAGAGGCCCAGAGGATCTGAGCAGTATACACACTGTCACACCGCTGGTCAGCAGCTCGGTTGGGGTTTGAGCTCTGGAGCCCTAAGGTCCAGATTCACTCCGTCAGCTGCGTTAAAGAACTAATGGCTCGTTCTCTTTCTGGCCTCTATGTTTGTGCCATTTTCTCCTTAGTTACTCAAATATTTGCCAAGTACCTGCTGGGAACGCAGCATCTGCACAGGACGTGCAGTCCTTACCTTCACATGGAGGGGCAGAGATTAGCTTTGTGCCTACTCAGGGCTTTTTTTTTTTTTTTTTTTTTTTTTTTTGGGGGTTTAATGTCTTTGCCTAGAGCTGTATCCCTAGTGTTTTATTTTATTTATTATTTATTTATTTATTTGTTTTTTTGAAACAGGGTCTCACTATGTAGTTGGAACTCACTATGTAGCCCAGGCTGCCCTCGAACTCAGAGCAATCCTCCTGCCTCAGCCTCGCGAGTGCTGGGATTACAGGTGTGTGCCACCACAGCCGGCTTCAAAGTAGGTCTTCAGTTAGGGTTGTGGTTACGGCTATGAAGAAGTTGAGCACAGAGCTTCGGGGGCACGAGGCACCGGGTCCACCGGAGAGAGTGTCTTTGCCTGTATCCACTGCAGGGAAAACGCCTGTTCCTTCAGAATGGAATGAACTTTTTCACTTTTAGCTGTGATGCCCCAGTGTGTGTGAGTGTGTGCCCTCTGCCGAATGCCTCTCCTGCCTCTTTCTTTTGTGGCCCCTGTAGATCTGTTTCCTCCACACATCCCTGCAGCCTGTGGCCACTCTAGAGCACCCGTTTTGTTTTGTGGATCATTGGTGCTGATAGAAGAGTGAGTTCCTCAGCAGTGGATAAATGGTGGTATTTTTGGGGTATAGCAGAATTTTAGAAATGAGCAGATATGCTTAGTACTGGGTTGGTAGACTCGCAGGAGTGTTTGAGTGAAGTAAAGCATTTCTAATTTAAAAATCAGGATGTGCCTTCTTTTCTGGTGTGGCTTTGAAGTTGGCATAGAGCCCAGGCCTCAGCAGGGCCCAGGCCTACTTGGTTGTGGGCAGTGCCCTGTTCTCCTTGTTTAGAAAGGGGGAAATGGATCTCCTGAACTTGTCGGCTGGCGGTTGGTTGTGTTGTGCCCAAGTCGCGAAGTCCTCGAAGACCCCCAAGGAGTCAGGTCTGATGCAATTGCAAGAGGAGTTTATTGCAAGCTCGAGCCTGGACCTCAGGTGTCACCGTCACAGCGGCATCAGACTGAGATCCCAGATCCAACTTCGAACCAAGTTTATATAGGATTTTTCTGTTGCTATTTTTGGTTTTGCCTTATCATCAAGGGGCATCGGGAGGGCACGTTGGAACATGACCTAATGCTTACATTTGCAAATTTATTATGGGGTGCTGGGAGGGTACGTGTTGGAAAGTTACCTAAGGCCTCCATTAGACAATTAATTCCTCTTTTCTGACTTTTGCTAACTAAGATATATAACTATCTATATCCACTATAATTAATTCCTATATTCATTAGATCATACAAAAAGAAGCTTTTCTATTAACTGATTAATTTCTATATTAGCTATAGCTAAATTAATTCCTATATCAGCTATGACTTATTCCTGTATTCATTGAATTACATAAAAAGAAGCTCATCTTAAAGAGGAATAGAAGCAGGGTGGAGGTGCCCTAAAAGAGGAACTGCAATTGTCAAAGCACAGAGAAACTGCCACCTGGAATGGAATTTTTCAGAAAGAAACTTTTGCATTTACTCTATTCTGGGTAAGGGGCATGGAGCCCACCGTGACCTGGAAACTTGGTCCTCACAGTTGATTCTTGCTAACTGAAATAAAAGTGATTTTGATGTGTAAGGAAAATGGTATCTTCTCCTGTTTCCGGGGTTACTACTGTGTGCTGGGCTCCATGGACCCCACAGATAGGAATCTCTGCTGCCTGGGCCTCCCTGCCCTTTTGACCCGGCCTTTCTCGGCGCATACTCTGCCTGGCTTGCTTTCACACAGTGTCATGTTTCTGCTTCTGCCTGGGGCGTTGTGTCCTCAGTACCTGTGTTCCCCTGAGGCTTTGTTCCCCGCTGCTGAGGCCTGTACTTTTGTGTCCATGAACTTGCTGGTGGTTGATTCTGGTGTGGGGCTTTTATGACTGAGGACCCCAGTGACGTTCACAGCCAGGCCTGTTCTGTTCCCTCCTTGTGGATTTGAACCAGGGAGAGGTCAGGGAGTAGGTGTGTTGGCTTTGTGTGAGACTTGTCGCCAGTTCTCAGCAGGGTTGAGCTGGTTGTCTCTCCCAGCAGCAGTGCCCGAGGTCCCCGAGTCCCTGTGTTTGCAGGGCCGTCCCCACAAGGTCCGTGGGCCTTTTCCTGGTGGACCCTGACGTTCACATCTCCCTCTCTGTCTCTCTAGGTGCCCCGGAGATGCTGAAGAGAAACGCACGTTTGGTGAGCTCTTGGTCAGGAGGGGCCAGTGGTGTGGCCTGTGCCTGTCCTTCCCCAGGCCCTTCCCTGCAGCTGTGCCCAGAGCCTGGGCCCCTGGCCCCGCTGGAGAGTGAGCTTTTGGTCTCACCCTGCACAGCCCCCTGACCCAGGCCCAGTGCTTGCTGAAGCAGGTGGCCAGAGCCTGCACTTCTCTTTCCGTCACTTGGGGCACCCGGCTCACGAGGGTGGGGATCAGCACCAAATCCCTGCCGCTGTCACTACGCCATATTGACTGTGTGCCGGGCGGTTAGGACCGGAGAAGTCGGGCAAAGGGACCTACAGATAAACAGTGACAAGAACGGGCTGTTGTGGGTGGGAAGTGCCGGGGCCTAGCTGCGATAGGAGCCCCAGGCAAGAGCCCCTGCGTTTGAGGTGGTCGGGGCAGGTGGCTTGCGGCTGTCCCCCATCCTGAGCCCCAGCTGGGAGCCGGCTTCTCAGCCCTGGCCTGCTGGGTAGGGACCCCGCCGCTCCGCAGAGGGAGGGCAGAGCTCAGGTCCTGGGCCACCGCTGTGTGGGAAGCAGGGGTCGTCCTGGGCTCACGCTGGTCCCCGTGCCTGGCCAGGCGTACGTCCTGAGCGCGGACCCTTGCGGCCACTGTGTCATCATCAACAACGTGAACTTCTGCCCGGCATCAGGGCTCGGCGCTCGCACCGGCTCCAACCTCGACTGTGTGAAAATGCAGCGCCGCTTCTCCCAGCTGCATTTCCAGGTGGAGGTCAGGTGTGACCTGACTGCCGAGGTGCGGCCACTGTCTGGGGACACGGGGATGGGCTGGGTGGGGCGGTGTCCTGGGCGGGACCCCGAAAGCAAGCCGATTCCCCAGATGAGCCCTTACATCTCTAGAACCACAGGAGGCCATGTGTCTCTGTGGTTACAGCTCAAGCATCTGCCTGCCAGTGACCTCCTGTGCCTCAGTTTCCCGGTCTAGAAAGCAAGAATAATCCTCCGCATTGGCTGTTACGGGGATTACGTGAAAAGTCTCTAAGCACAGCACCTTTTCCCTGAGAATGGTGATTGTGACTTCAGTCTTGGTCCCTGGATGTGGAGACAGTGCCTGCCCAGGCCTTCAGCAAGGAACGGGAGTCAGGTGTGGGGGCAGTGGACCCACCTGTGCCTCCAGCTCAGCTGTGGTCTTCCCTTCCTGTAGAAAATGGTCCAGGCTTTGGTGGAGCTGGCGCGGCAGGACCACCACGCTCTGGACTGCTGCGTGGTGGTCATCCTCTCTCACGGATGTCAGGTAGGAGCCTCTCCCTCCTGGCCTTGCTCCTTGGCAGCATGGGACAGAGGCTGAAACCATTCCTTCCTACGTCTGTAGGGCCCGTGGCTTCCTGGGAGAGAGCTGTGGAGCTTTGCCCAACCCCCGCTGTTTCCCAGGGTCACCTGGTCCTCTGAGGCATTGGAAGTACCTTCCTAGGTGGGACAGAGTCCTGAGAGGAGCCATCTGGTAGCGCGGAGGTCTCTTCCCAAAACTGCGTCTGGGTTTTGTTCCCAGCCTCTGTCCTGCCCCACCTTGCAAGGCCCTTGGCTGCTGGGTGGGCCTCAGGACCCAGGGACCGCTCATGTGCTGGCTCATCGGTGGCCAGCCCCTTACTCCTACCTGGACCTTGGTTTCCTCATGGGCTGGACTGATGTGCAGTCACAAGCTGGTGGCCCCAAGGTCCTCTATGTGCTTGATGGTGTTTTTATTTTATTATTATTATTATTATTATTATTATTATTATTATTTTCATTATTAGGGATTGCAAGCAGGACCTTCACACTGAGCTACATCTCTGGCTCTTTTTTATTTTTTATTCTGAGGCAGGGGTCACTAAGTTGCTCAGGCTGGGCTCGAACTCTTGATCCCGCTGCCCCAGCCTCCCGGAAAGCTGGGATTACAGGTTGCGCCTCAAGGCCTGGCTTCTGAGTGTTCTTAAAATTGGCAAATTTCTTTCGCTTCTCGTGAAACCCTAAGGTCTGGCTTGACTGGTCCAGTGTCTTCACGGAGCAGCTCTGGCCTGCCGCCGGCAGGGGCTGCCGTCCGAGCCTCCCAGCGTGGCGCAGGGCATCTCCTGGGAGCCTGTGACAAGTGCACCCCTCAGGCCCCCGTTGCACAGCTGTGCTTTCAGAGTCTGCACTGTGACCAGGCCCCCATGGGACTCCTGAGCAAGGAGCTTGGGCTACAGCAGCGGCTCTCAGCATTTAGTTGTGGCAGAGATGCCCAGAGGACCACAGTTCTGGTTCGGGGTCCAGGTGCTTCGGCCTCTGCATTTCTTCCAAGCCCCTGGTGGGTGTGGGTGCTGCTCGTCCGGGGGCCGCCCTCTGGCCCCGCGGGCACTGTCAGGCGTGGGGCTTCGTTACCCTTGCGGCCGGTGTGGACCGTGTCCTCCCACAGCCGGCCTGCTCTGACCCTGTGAGCCTGGACCCCCGGAGGCCGCTGTGCAGGCCCTGATTCCTACCTGTGTCTTGGCTCTTGGTTCCCTAGGCCAGCCACCTGCAGTTCCCGGGAGCCGTCTACGGCACGGACGGGTGTCCTGTGTCTGTCGAGAGAATCGTGAACATCTTCAGTGGGACCAGCTGCCCCAGCCTGGGAGGGAAGCCCAAGCTCTTCTTCATCCAGGCCTGCGGTGGGGGTGAGCAGGCCTCAGTCCCTGTGGGTGTGGCTGGCGGGGCAGGAGCCGCGCGCCTGCTTCTGGTACCCATTTCTGTTGTCTCCATTGTCGGATTCTCCGACCTCCGTCATCTGGATGGGATCTCTTTCCACCGATCTAGACAAAGGGAGGCCGAATTTAATTAGTGGAATTCCCCAGAGCCCAAGCGTTGGTGAATTGGGGAAAGTTTTAAGTGTTATTTGGATTATTTACGGTTTTGCTCCAGGCCTTGTGTCTTAGTCCGCTGTCGGGTGCCATAACCGAGGGCCACACACTGGGTGATGGGTGAAGACCGGAGGCTTAGTTGTGCACAGTCCTGAATCCTGGGCAGTCGGGGGCACGGTGCCAGCCTCTGGTGGGGCCCTGTGCTGCACCTCAGCGGTGGCGGAGGGCGTCCTGGGGAGACGAGGAGGTGCGCCAGCTTGGGTCTGTGCGCTGTTGCTGTGGTTTTCATCTTCCTCTTCCGCTTCGTCTTCCACCTCCTCTTCTTCCGTGACCTCTCTCCTGTCCCCCTCCATCATCGCCATCACCGGTCCCATAGGGTCTCACTTGCCTGACTTTAAACTCCTGCGCTCAAGAGATCCTCCTACTTCAGCCTCCTGAGGAGCTGGCAATGTCCTCACACATCGCCATGCCAGGCTTTCCCCTCTGTCTAAAGTCACTAATGCCACCCTCACAGCCTCACCTAATCCTGATGACTTCCTGAGGTCCTAATTCTAAACACCACTAAAATCTAAATTTAAGGATTCATTTTCCTTGGCAGTCTGGGGTGACCTCCTTCAGAATTTCAGCGATCATGCCAAGAAGGCAGAAGGAAAGCTCAGTGCTGCAGGACTTGGGTGTGTTACAGGCAGGGGAACACACTCTGCCCACTGGGAATTATTCTTATGGGGGAGAGTGTTTCGCCTTCCAGGGAGTTTGGAGTTAACGAAGCCCTCTAAGAACAAAGCCACACATACAACATGAACCCCCAGCCTAGGTGTGCAGAGGGAGGCTGATGTGAATGGAGCTGCAGCTGGCATCCCTGTTGGGTTCACCACGCCCCTTTCCCACACCCCTCTCATTCTGTTGTGCCTTTTTTTACAGGTAGCTCCTCTGCTCATCCTGATCTCCTTCCATCATCCTTATGGTGTTCATCATCCTTATGCATTAATCACTTTTCTGTTGCTGTCACAAAACAGCCGAGGCTGGTTGCTTTATAAAGAAAAGAGGTTGATTTGGCTACCAGTTCTGGAAGTCTAATCGTGGAAGTGCTCCTTTCTCTGAGGTTTTATAAGTTTGAGAAGAACTTTTCTTTGTCAGAGGAGCACTAATGTGTCTCAGTGACATGGTGCTGGTTTCTGCTTTCCCACAGAGCAGAAAGACGTTGGGTTTGAAGTGGCCCTCTCTTCCCCTGATGACGAGGCCCCTGGCAGCAGCCCCGAGTCAGATGCCGTCCCGTTCCAGGCAGGCCCGAGGCCCGGGGACCAGACTGATGCCCTGTCGAGTTTGCCCACACCCAGTGACATCCTCGTGTCCTACTCCACCTTCCCAGGTGAGCACATCCTGCAGCCAGTGTGTCCCGTGGGCCCTGGAGGCTGCTGTGCTGTTCAGGGCTGGTTCTGCCCCGCGGTGGCGCCCGTGGGACCCTGAGCATTGACTGCACCTCTCTGACCCCAGGTCAGGTCCGGCGGTTGAGGCACTGAGGGCACAGTTTAAGCCCGTCTTTTGCCTTGTGTGCCTCCGCCCCCTCCAGCCCTGCCTCAGTCTCCTCGCCTTTAAGATGGGCAAAGTAACTGCACCTCAGGGTGTTGTGGGTGCCCGACTCAGCGCCTGGCACAGGACAGAAGCAGCACCATGCTTCTCTTCTGTCTTTGCCGCCCAAGTGAGTCCCATGATTTGTGGGGGCCTGGGTTTCCTTGCTGGAAAAGCGGGAGCCAGCTGGCGTCAGGGGTGGTCACAGGAGTGCAGTATGTGGCCACTCCCGGGTGTATGTGGTGTTGGGGTGGAACCCAGGACCATGTGTGAATGAGTCATGGTCTGGATGTGGCTGGACCACTCGTGTTCGCCAAGGGGCCGGCTCCCCACAAGTTTGGGGCTTGCTTCTCCCGAAGGTTTTGTCTCCTGGAGGGACACCTCGCGCGGCTCCTGGTACATCGAGACCCTGGACGGCGTCTTGGAGCGCTGGGCACGCTCTGAAGACCTGCAGTACCTGCTGCTGAGGGTGAGGGCGCCTTCTTCCCTGGGCTGGGGGGCTGCGGGTGGCCCAGTGTGACTGCAGGGCAAGCAGAGGGTGACACCCAGGGCGTGATGGTGTCCGGCCCTGTCTGGTGCTGAGCCGTGGGGGCTGTGGCAAGCTGGGGACTGGACCCAGGGCCTTTGCACCACCTTTTTACCTTGTAAGGTCTGGCTGCGTCACTTAGTTGCTCAGGCTGGGTTTGAACTTGTGATCCCCGACTCCGCTTCCCAGAGTGCTGGGAATACAGGGTGTGGCACCGCCCCTGGCTTGGTGGGCTCTTTGGCTTCTCTTAATGAGGGCTGTGACTCTCCGTGGTGACAGTTTTCTTTTTTCCAAAAGGGCCACATTGTTCTGCCTTCTAGGATGTGCCTTCTGTTTTTGTTTTGTTCTTTTGTACCGGGGATCGAACTCAGGTCCTTGTGCTTGCAAGGCAGGCGGCTGCACGACTGAGCCAAATCCCCAGCCCTAGGATGTGCCTTCTGGCTGTCCTCAGTGCCGGGATGGAACAGCTCAGAAGTCAGACCATGGCGTCCTAAAGGCTGGCTGAGCCCGGCCCCACCCACGAACCTGTGGTCTTTTGCTCTGGACCCTGAAGCTTCCTGGGAGAGGCCCCGCCCCACTCTGTGAACAGCCAATCAGAGCCCCCTGCCAAGGGATGCAGGTGGGTCCCTCCTGCTGGGCCCTGTGCTCTATACCTGGAGGGGCTGTGAGGCCTGGGGCCGTGCCTTGCTCCAGAGGGACCTTCTGGCTTGAGCATTGCTCACCAGAGCCCAGGACGGGAGACAGGCAACGCAGGAGACTCAGGCGCCGCGCCCCAGGCCTGTGACCCTCAGAGGACATCGGGGCGCGGCAGGGCAGGGGTGGAGGATAGCTCGGGACAAACCTTGCATTTGGCTCCTGGTCCAGATCCGCGTCTCTTCTCTCAGACTTTCTTCGTGGAAACCTCTCAGTGTGGGTGAAACTTGGTGAACTTTTAAGTCTTGACATTTTGATTTTTGTGTTTTTTGTTATTATTCTGGGTTTTTGAGATGTAGTCTCGCTGTGTAATCCAGGCTGGCCTCAGACTCGAGGCAATGCTCCTGGTTTAGCCTTCTGAGCGCTGGGATCCCATTTTGGGATTTTGTGTTCCTTAGCTCTGTAACCGACTCGAGGAACCTGCAGGTAGAGCTGATCTTCATGGGCCCTTTAGTCGACACACCAGCTCTCTTGAGCTCTGGATTCACTGGAGAGTCCTGACCTCATTGACTTCCTGTGGTTGTGTTTTTGCAGGTTGCTAATGCCGTGTCCGAGAAAGGGATTTATAAACAGATTCCTGGTTGCTTTAATTTCCTTCGGAAAAAACTTTTCTTTAAAACCGAATGAGGTCAGGGCTGCCCACGCTGCCTTACCACTCACCCCACACGCTGTGTGCTGCAGCAGGCCCGGAGGTGGTTGCAGCCACGTCCCTCCGCGTCAAGGCGTTGGAAGCTGGCAGTCGCGTCCTCCCCATGGCGGACCGGTGTCAGGAGCGCCTAGGTCGAAGAGCAGCGCCCAGTCGTGGAGGAAGAGGAGCGGAGAGCTGTGGGCTCCGCGGGGCCTCTCCGAGCTGGCTGGGCCGAACCTGGCTATCACACCCTCCCCTCTAGAGCTGAGCTCCTCACCCTGCACTGCAGCCTTGGGGGCCAGGTGACCCTCGATCCTGGGCTCGGCCTGGGCGTCATAGGATGCTTCGTGCCCTCCCTGGCCTCCACCCGCCTGTGCCAGTAGCACCCCGACCCTGGATGGTGCTGACCAGAGACGTCTTCAGGCATTGCCAGCCGAGTCGCGGGGAAGCGCAGACCCACAGGGGTTCGGGGCTATGGACACAGCAGTGTCTTTCAGATCAAAGAGCTTAGGCTCCTGGAGCCTCGGCATGTGGGCCTGGGGATCCCAGGTGACGTTTCAGGAGTGGGTAACATCCCTTCGGTCACGGGCGAACATGGACTCCCTCGCCGCTGTCCGTCCTCACTTTGCTCTGGGCCTGTTCTTTCCCACGAAGGAGACACTTGCTATTTTCAAAACATTTCCCCAGACCCAGGTGGTAGTGCCCGCCTGTCGTCCTAGCTACCCTGAAAGCTGAGGCAGGAGGGATCACAGTTCCAAGATAGCCTGGGTAACTTAGCAAGACCCGGTCTCAAAGTAAAATACTTCCTGCAGCAGTGGTGGCAAACCTGTGGCGTGCATGTTATTTGGTTTTCTTTTACAATAAAAGGTGTCAGGCTGGGGATCTGGCTCAGTGGTTCCACCGCCTGCCTTGCAAGTACAAGGACCCGAGTTCGATCCCTGATACCAAAAGAAAAAAAAAAAACCAAAAAGATAAAAGGTGTCGACATTTGAGTTGTTTTTCTGAACCACAACCTTACTGTTCAGGTTTAGTCGCAGTGTTGGCGCTCTGTGATAGGTGGGTATTACGTTGCGTTGGGCACTCATCTCTGAAGTTTGGCATCCCTGGCTAGGGTGTGGTTCGGTGGTAAAGCACTTGCCTGGGTTCAGTCCCCAGAACCACCAAACAAAATGATAAAGGAACAAACCCATTTCTCCAGGCCTAATTTCACTTGATCCCCACCCCAGCCCAGGTAGTGACTGAGGTGGATCCCCTGGGCCCACAGAGGTTAAGTGTCCTGTCCAGGGGAGCACAGGCACCCCATGGGGGCACCTGGCTGGATTCTGGGCCTCCTGTCCAGAGCCCCATCTCTTGCCAAGGGCCCCAGGCCCCAGAGTGCAGCGTGGAAGAGCTGAGCTTGTGCAGAGCGGCCTGACCCCGAGGCCCTCTCTTGTTCCCAGGACCTGGAGGTTGGGATGGACATTTGCTAATAAGACTGACCAGGGTGTGATTTCTGCAGCTGTCGCTTTATTATCATTTTCCTCCTGTCACGTCCCGGGTCTGACAGTCCTGAGGCTTCTCTGGTTAGTATTTTGCGATCACCTGTGGACACACCAGGAAGCGAGCAGTTTAACCCGAGAGCAGAGCCGGCCTGGCCCTTCGCAGACTCGGTCTCTATGTGAGTCACAGGTAGTCTCAGGCAGGAGGTCCTGCTTGAGGCTTCTTCTGGTCGTGAGTGGGAGGGGTCGAGGTCCCAGCGTTCCCCAGACCTGCCGGCTGGTTGGAGAAGGGTCCCCACCTGCAAGACTTCAGCTCGGGCCTTGGGAAACCCTGAGTGACAGGCTGGATCTGGATGGGTAGGCGTGGTTGTAAATTTCATTTGTTTCTCAAATGAAACTGCTGCTTTAGGCGAAGAAATACTGGCCATGGCAGACTGTTTTGTTGTTTGAGACAGGATCTCTCACTGTGTCGTCGAAGCTAGACTTGAACTCACTGTGTAGCCCAGGCTGCTCTCAAAAGCCTGGTGATCCTCCTGCCTCAGCCTTTCAAGTGCTGGGATTACAGGCGTGCACCACCACTCCTTGCAGTTTTTTCTTTTCTTTTTCTTTTCAAATGCAGGTTGAGCCAAGGCTTTTGCACTGAGCTTTATCCCCAGCCCTTTCCTATTGTTTATTTTAAGACAGGGTCTTGCTAAACCACTAAGTTTCCCCAGGCTGGGCTCGTATTTGTGATGCTCTTGACTCGGACGGCAGAGTGCTGGCGTTACAGGTGTGCACTACCACACTTGGCAGTGTAACTGGCTTTCACAGCTGTTGGACAGTACCCGTTAAACATTGTTTTCTGGTGCTGGGGAGCGAACCCGCGGCCTCTCACATGCTAAGCACATGCTGTTTCTCTGCGTTCCTTCCCCAGCCCCTAAACATTCTGCTATGTGAACTCCATCAGCCAGGGAGGCTGCTGGATCTCCACTGTGCAAATCCTCAGAGTAGCATGCAAGAAAGTCCAAGGGTGTCTAGTGTGGCCACGTAAGAATGAAATCCCATTATGTTCTCACTGTGGAACAGTATTTAGCTATTTAAAAGAGTGACCTGATTCTGTGTATTGCTAACCAAAATGTGTGTAAGTCCTCAGTGGAGGAGCAGGACCCTTTTCTGGTTAGAGACAGTGTCTGTTGACAGGCGCAGTGGCACAAGCCTGTAATCCCAGCACTCTGGGAGGCTGAGGCAGGAGGGTTACAAGTTTGAGTCCCAACGGGAAAACTCGGCATGACCCTGTCTCAAAATAAAAATTCAAAAGAGGGCTGGGGATGTAGCTCAGTGCAAAGGTCTTCGGTTCAATCTGCTGTACTAAAAATAAATAAATGAATAAAGAAAGGAAAAAGCATGTGCGTATGTGTGTGTGTGTGTGTGTGTGTGTGTGTGCATCAGTCTTTGTTATATGCACATAAACCCCGGAAGACCACTTGTGGGACTGTTACCAGTGTTTTCCTCTGCCGGAAGTGGAGGTAGGAAATGAGGGGCATTTGTACTTTTTATTTGATACACTCCTGTCCTTAATACTTTTATAAAGAAACATATTACTATCTGGAAAAACAAATAAGCTAGATACTACCAAAGGCCCATGAGAGGCCATTCAGTGAAATGTGTCGAAGGCACAAAAGCCCTAGGCCACCTGTGTCCCCCCTGCCTGTGCTTTTAAAAATATGTATTTTTTTTTTGCGGTACCGGGGATTGAACTCAGGACATTATGCTTGCGAGGCAGGCGGTGGCACCACTGAGCTAAATCCCCAGCCTTTGCCTATGCCTTTTTGCTAGCAGGGTCCTGGCCTTGTGTACCTGTCTAGGTTGATGCGGGCGGGTGCTCCCGGCCCCCTTCCACCCAGGGCTGCAGCTGTGTGCGACTCAGGTGCACATGGTGTGTCTCTGGGCTGGGGCCACTGCAAGGATCCACCAGCCCCTCTGCAGCTATGGGGGCAGCCTTGAGCAGGGGACAGTGGGCTGCTGGCTCTGCCACTCCTGGAACCCGTCAGTGGGCATCTGTGCCGCTCTGGCTGCTGTCCTGTGAATGCAAGGCTTCTGCCCAGCTGACAAGCAAGGTTTGCTCTCCCCGCCGATGCTCCTGCCATCTGGCCTGCTCTGTTCTCCTGGGTCTGTGGCTGGCAACCACTGAGACTGGGACAACACATCAGGACAACTGTCCCTGGTCCCTGCTTTGTGTCCTGAAGGTGTTTCCAGGCCCAGCTGCACAGTGACTCCTGCAGCAGCTGGGGCTGGAAAAGGGTTTCAGGATTTGATCGTGCAAAAGCCTTCAACGTCTCTGTCCCTTTGCAAGGCTGCTCGGAGATGCTTTCTGTCTCCAAAGCTGGGCTTGGATTCCCTTTGCCCCTCGAGTCATGGTTTTTCCCCGCCAAAATAAGAGAAAACAAAACAACAAAATCCCCATAATTTGCCCGTCTTTCTTGATTTTTCATTCTTCTCAAACTCTTTGGAGCCTCCCGTGGCCACTTGTCGGCGAAGCAGAGCCAGCAGACAGACGTGTGGACGCGGGAGCCGCGGGGGGCAGTCAGGCCACTGCTACCTCCCACGCGTGGCTTTCCTCCTGTGTCCCCCCAGTTGTGGCTGCGGTTTCACCCTTGGTTTTGTAATGGTGGCAGTCTAACTCAGCGTGACAGCTCTTTCAAATTAAACTTCACATGATGAAATCAGGTGCCAGTGTACCTTACTTGGCGTGCTCCGACACCACCACCGCCACGTCACCTGCTGTGGCTCCTGACGGTGTCGAGGTGACCCGCTTTGGTTCAGGTCTCATTGTACAGGAGAGCGAACTGCAGTGGTGGCAGTGTACGTGGGGGAGGACGTTAAAAACGTGTCCCCAGGCCGGGTGTGTTGGTGCATGTCTGCTACGCCAGCTGCTTGGCGGCCCCAGGAGGTTGACATGTTTCAGACCAGCGAGGGCAATTTAGCAAGATTCTTTCATGAAATCCAAAATGGCTGAGTATGTAGCTCAGTGTGAAGGCTCTGGGTTCAATCCTCAAAACTACTTGAAAGAAAGAAGGAAGGAAGGAAGGGGGAAGAGGAGGTGGGGAGGCAAGGGAGACAAAACACTGGGCGCCTCTGGGGGCGCCTCGGTGGAAGAAAAGGTTCCAGGCTCCCAGAAGCACGGGCCTTGTGAGGTGGTGAGGGCGGGACCCACGAAGCTCGGGAAGCTCGGGCTGGTCCGGTTCTCACCTCATCGATCCAGTCCACGAAGCTGGACACCCGGGTGAAGACGGACGGCTTGCGGTAGTAGTTGCAGCCGAGACTGGATCCGAAGCTGACTACGCCGTGTACTTGCCACCTGCCGTCATCCACCTGGCAGCTCAGCGGCCCTCCAGAGTCCCCCTGGGAAGTCGGGTGGGAGGTGGTGGGGAGGCAAGGGCTGCCCCAGGAACCCGGATCTCAACACTTTCGCCCTCTGTCCTCTGAAGTCAGCCCCGTGGTCACAGCTCTCGGCTGCCACCCGCTACCTCCTCCTGTGACCGGGTGCTGCCTGGTGGCCTTTGTGGGCGGAATAGAGGGGCACCGTTGACCTAAGGCCCGAGGAGCCCCTTCCAACTCGTCCTGAGTCCACGGGGTAACAGTTCATTCTGGTAAAGGGGCCGTCTCCGGGAAGGGTTCTCTGACAGCGACTTTCAGGGGCCATCCATCGGGTTAACTCAACAATTAACAGAAGGCCCTAACTTAGAGACCCTGACTTAGAGAACACCTCCCCTGGGTCCCTTCTTGCACAGGAAAGAGGCATGTCGGAAATGAGACTCGTTGATGAGACCCAGGGGAGGACTTCTCAGCAGTGAGCCAGGGTGAGCACTGCCAGGAGAATCTCGAAACATTACTTCTGGACACTACGAGCCCCAAGGCCGGTTCTGAAACATCCAGGAGCCGGGAGGGTGGATGCTAGGGCCCCTGGGTGTTCTCCACCCCAGTCTCATCCTCCTGTAGAAAGCTTCCCATCTTTCATACTCACGTTGCAGCTGGAGGTCACACCGTCACCCCCAGCACAGACCATTCTGGTCTTCACGGAGCCGCCCCACCAGCTATCGCTGGAGCACGTGGCATAGTCCACGACCAGCAACAGGCCTTGTTGCAGGATGTCGGGAGTCGCCCCATTGGCTGAACGAGACCAGGGGGAAAGCATTAGAGGGACAACTGGGTCTCCTGGTGAAAGGAAATAGGGACATCTTCTGGGTTTTCTGATTGGTCCTTACTAATATCTTCCAACCAAACGGTTGCTATAGGAGTAGCCATTTTCGTCCTTACTGTGTCCTTACGTTCGATTGGTTAGTGTTGTGGCCATTGGTGATTGGCTCAAGGGTGATTGGCTCCTTTCCTGGGAGTTTGGGGTGGAGACTAAGATCCTAAGAGAGCAGCTGGAGGTAGCAGCCATCTGTTTGCCATGAAGAAAACCCACAAGAAAAGAAATCCTGTGGAGGGTTTCCTGAGTTTCTTACAGGCTTCTACTCCCTGGTTCTAGCCTGGTTCTGATGCCTGGCTGTCTCTCTGCCCTTCACTTGAGCCTTTTAAATCGTTGTAATGAATTTGCCTTTTGGAGATGTATACGGGCTTCTGTCACCTACCTGAGATATGACAGTGAGGCTGCTGGCATCTGGAGCCCTCTAGTTGGGTAAAATATTCTAGTGCGGTGAGGGGAGCTTTTGTAATGGCCCAACGCCACCGTCAGCCTCGCGTCTACTCGGGTCACCACTAGAACTAATGGCAGCAGGGAAGACTGGTACTAGTTTTGCACTTCCCGAGGCTCCGCTGACGCGCCCCCTTCCTCACAGACATGTTTGTTCCTGCTTGGCGGACGGGACACTGAGAACAGGAGAAGTCAAATGTCTTGCCTAAGACCACCGTAATTAATACATAACTAACACTCAGGTAACATTTGCCTATAAATGGAGCATTTTTCACGCGTATCACTTCTTTCGGTCTTCACAACCGTTTGCACTTTGCAGGTGAGGAATCTGAGGCTCTGCAGTGACTTGTCCAAGGTTCCATGTGACTGACAGGAATGGGACTAAAGGCCAAGCGTCTGGACCCTCCCTGGCCCTGCACGTCTGCAGTGAGGTAGGCTCTGCCCCGGTGTGTTCTGGGTAGACACACGTGGTCGAGACGCTGTCCAGTGAGCATGAGATTCCTCCTCCACCTTCCTGGCCTCTGCTGGGTGCTTGAACTTCCCTAGAGCCTTCCAGACCTCCGGTGATTTTACGAGGGAAGGGTAGGTGCTCTCCTTGTCCTTGGTGGCTTATACTATTGGAGTTTGACCCTTGGGCACCTGTGAGAAGCTAATCCGAGGGAAGGGTAGGTGCTCTCCTTGTCCTTGGTGGCTTATACTATTGGAGTTTGACCCTTGGGCACCTGTGAGAAGCTACTCAGCCAGTAGCTCTTCAGAGTTCCCAGGCCTCAGTGGGAGAGCGCTGGCGCAGGGGGTCTGATGTGGCTCTGGGGATGTTGACGGGGCCCCAGAAACCTGAGGCCACAGAGCAAATGCTGGCCTGAGTCACACTGATGTCACACGTGCCGGGACGGTCAGTTTTAACCCCCCGGCGACGCGTGTGACACCTTCTCCCTTCTCTGCCGGGCCTCAGGGCACCTGGCTGACACTCACTCTGTAGCCGGCCCCAGCCGGTGACGTAGCAGGGGTAATTGCTGGGCAGGATGGTGCCGGCGGGTGGCAGGCAGGCCAGCTGGATTTTGTAGCTCAGGGTGACGGGTTCAGCCAGCTTGATCAAGGCGATGTCGTACCTGCATCAGGAAAGAGGCAGAGTTGTGAGGAGGGGTCGCCGCTCCCGCCCGGCAGGGCTCCGAGGCCCCTGGCACCTCCAGGTGCACCGCCTCCAGGCTGTCCCCGTGGGCAGGGCGGCAGAGCCTCTCGGG